TATATATATATATATATATATAGAGAGAGAGAGAGAGAGAGAGAGAGAGAGAGAGATTTCTGTAGATGGCATTAGCGACAAGTAGATGTCAAATACATATATATAAGACAGCTTGGAATACTCTTTAACATTTCGTGAAGATAACTTGGTAGTCTCAGTAGTTGACTTGTGTTTACACCATATAATTATTTCAAATTAGAAATGTCGAATTATATACCAACTAAACGTCATTTGCAGGAGGTGATACTTTATTATTGTAATAGTGGAGAATCCGCCGGTGAGACTCACCGAATGCTTATATACGCTTATGGTAACAATATTATATCCTATAGCACATGTTATAGATGGTATAAAATCTTCGAGAAAGGTGATTTCAACTTAGAAAAACTTATTCCAACAAAACCAAATAAAGAACGGGTAATTGAAGAATTAGTGCGTTTAATACTGGAAAACCCGCGTATGACTCAAGCAATGATGGCAGCAAAAGTAGGAGTGTGTGAATGTACAGTTTTCAAATACCTAAAAAGTGAGGAATTTCAAAACAAATTAAAAGAAAAAGAGCAGGAGCAAAGTTCTATACCTCTTGGTAATATATATATATATATATATCATTTTTATATACACATAGGATATTATATTCTTAAGTACATGTTGTGTGTTGTATAAACGCTTCAAGTCGGGTTATTTTTACTCAGAAAGAACTACTTCAAAAGCATTAAAAAGAAAACTGACAGTTGAAAAATTAGTGCGTTTAAGACTGGAAAACCCGCGTATGACTCAAGCAATGATGGCAGCAAAAGTAGGAATGTGTAAAGATACAGTTTTCAGATACCTAAAAAGTGAGGAATTTCAAAACGAATTAAAAGTACTACAGCAGGACCAAAGTTCTATACCTCCTGGTAATATATATATGTATACAATTTTAATATAATATAATATACATATTTTGTCTCCTATTTATTATTCGGACAAAATTGTAAAATTTAAGAAATGAAATTTATTTTATGTACAAATATATATATATATATATATATATATATAAATTAGGGTGGGTCAAAAAAATCAATTATTTTTTTTTTACAAGACACACTGAAAAATTGGTTGCTAGAAACCTTAAAAACTTTCTCACCAGATATGAGCTCTTAATTTTAATAGGAAGATCCTCCGCATCGCAGTTTTTTATTTTTTTCTCAGTCCAATAGAATAAAATTCATACCTCATCATTAATTAATTGTACAGAAAAATGTTTTCAAAGAATCTTGTAGAAAATTTAATGCTCTACAAAAAAGGTATCCTTATAATTTTTCCGTAAATCTCACCATTTGAGTGATATTAAAGATTTAAGTTTAATTATTTTAAGACAAATTTCATTTTTGTTTATGAATTTTATAACTCGATAATAAATGACTATTAAAAAGTGCACAATACAAATTTTTGTAGTAAATTAACTGCTCTATAAAAATGGTTTATTATTTTTTGGCGATTAAGTTAAGCGTTTAAAAGATATTCATCATCCAATTTTCAGCAACCAATTTTTCAGTGTGTCTTGTAGAAAAAAAAAATTGATTTTTTTGACCCACCCTAATATATATATAGGATAAGAAATCCTTAAGTAAATTTTGTGGATGGTATAAACGCTACAAGTCGGCTTATTTTAACTTAGAAAGAACTACTTTAAAAAGACAACATAGAGAATTGGAAGATGAAAAATTGGTGAGTTTGAGTCAAGATGAGTTAGCAAAGCAATTGGAAATGAGCCTACCTACAACTTCAAAAGGCGTAAACACTCAGAGAATACAAAACAAATTAAAACAAAAAGGGCTGGAGCCAAGTACTATACTTAAAAGTAATATAATATATTAAATATTACTATAATATAATGTATATATATACAGGATATTATATCCTTAAGTACATGTTGTGTATGGAATAAACGCTTCAAGAGATGTGATTTTAACTTAGAAAGACGTATTTCAAGAACACCAAGCACAGAGTCGGAAGATGAAGAATTAGAGCATTTTATAGATGAATTCCCGGGTGTAACTCCAGAAGAGTTAGCAAAAGTACATGGCATAAGCATATCTCAAGCTGAAAGGATCATAGACCCTTCGAAAATAGAAAACGAATAAAATGAAAAAAAGCGTAAGCAAAATTCTATATCTAATAGTAGTATATATATATATGTATATTATATATATGTATATAATAAAAATGTTACTTTCTTTTTGAAATCGGCGGAATTTAAAGAAAAATTTTATTCTTTTTTCGTTTGTTTGTTCGTTTATTTGAAACATATTTTCAAACTTTAATGATCATTATCAAAGTTTATTTATGATTTATTTCCTCAGTATATAATATTACATAAACCGTTACTAGGTATAACAAATAATATTTATTTACGAATATTCGTTCCATAGAATTCATTTTAAATTTGTATTGTATTTATTCATGTAAATATGTATTCATTAAAGAATAAATGATTTTAAAATAGATTTTCCGTTTATTAAAATGATATGAATTTGAAATGAATTCGAATTTGAAAACATTGGGTATCGATTATTGTTTATAAACTTTATCAGTAATGATATACAGAATAATTCTGTTACTCATTGTGTATATAAATATTTATCTTATTTTTTTTCTTTTTCTATTTAAAATGTAGATTTGACTGTACAGCGTAAAGGACTATTTCTGTTTTGTACTATGGGACAGGATAATATCGACAATACGTGATATTTACAAAATCCGTTTTGAAAATATACGAACAATCCATATTTAACGTATAATAATGGGACTTCTTCTAGACGAACAAATACCATATTGACTAAAGCACAGAAATGTAGCTGTAACACTTACCGAAATCTTAGACGATGCAGTGTTTTCCTGCTGATAACAGAATTCGACTGCTCCTGATGTTTCTTTGAGCGTCACAGGATAAACTGGATTGTATAGCCCTGCACTCTTTTTACCTTTTTTGATTATTATTTTTCGAGATATTTGGGTAACTGACGTTAGGGGAAAACTCATAAGATTATTTGATATATTTCTTTTATGTGTGGAATCAAGTGTTTTCCGTATTTGACCTATCTAATGAACACATTAATCGTCTCCGTATCGTTAAAGTATCATTGAAGAAGATTTACCTACTGTAGAAATATTTTTACGTCAACTAATATTAAAATAATTCCTTGATACTTTACAGGGTTTCTGAAAATGTCTCTGCAAATTTAAATGTACCTCAAATAAAGATTCTTATCTTATAATCTTTGGACAAACATAATATTATTATATTTATTGTAAATTTATTTTATAATTGCAAAAATATTCTACTAAATTATTGATTATTCGATTATTTAACTTTACTTTATAAATAGCTAAAATATAATTTATGTTAAACATTACTTTTGTTCTTTTAAAGATATTTTTTTTTAACCTAATTAATCTGCAAATAACTCAAATAAAATTTTCAGGTTAAATGATTTCCTGACTTATATTTTGTTACAACAAACATAAAAATATTTTTTTTTTTTTCATTATATTTTAAATGTAGTTTCTTTCGAATGTGTTATTAAATAAAAATGATTCTTTTCATTCTGAAACACGCGACAATGTCGTTTAAGGGGTTATGCCTAGTTGCGAGGCTCAAAACAGATGTCTTTTTATGAATTTTTTATAGAAACAGTTTTTATTTATCAATTACAAGTTATGATAATTCAAATAAATGCTTCTTTTGAAAATACAATAGCGTGTCGATCATTAAAAAATATTAATGTGCACCGCTCCTGTAGATGATCTCTCGAACGACCTCCAAAAAAGGTGTTTTGCGTAGGCTTCCGTCTCAGCGGTTTGGATTATCTGAAATCAAAAACGGTTGTGGATTCTTATAAACAATAGATCAATGCAGGTATTAAACAAAAAGAAAAAAAAATATTTTGATTTTTGACAAAATGGCGGCTATTGGAAAAAATGTTTCGTTTTTAACTGAGATTTTCCATCTAAATTGATAAAAAAAAAAAAAAAATAGTAATGAATTAAAAAAATTTTTTTTTATCGGTTTATTACGTGAGGAATATATCTAAGAAGATTGTGTAAATAGTTGAGAACGATCGGTTAAGCCATTTCTGAGAAATCGAGATCACCGACTTTGAAAACAACGTTTTGAGAAATACGCGTTTAAAGTTTCAGAAGTAGATTACACATAGTTAAAATTATTTTTCTTTAACTTACATTGTATCATCTATTGCAGAGCCAAAAAAGGACCTTTTGCTGTATCGGTAGCTTCTAATAATACCAGCTGGTGTTTTCGTCGAGCCATTTATTCTTCTCGCGTGCTCCCATGCGTTCTCGCGTCGGAGATCATCACACGCTTTGCATCCTCTTTGTCGACATAAGCAGGAGCTGCAGTGCATAATGAAAGTCCTAATGCACTCATAAAGTACAATAATTATTTTGTACCTTCATTAAATATTTCAATTGAAATGTAAGCCGCTATTCCAACAACTTTAGAGCCACATGGAAAAAATTTTGGAGTTGTTTTCCTTATTAACTGATTACAACTCTCATTATTGTTTTGTGTAAATCCACCAACACACCTTTCCAATAATTTTACGTTGCTAAGGTCTTCATAAATTGGATATATAGCTTCAGCAACATCAGCTAATAAAGTTGGACAATCATCGGTGTAATAAGATAATGTGTATGTTGCTAGCGCTTGCTGCCAACTACACCATGAACCTTCTCCACCTGCGCACATTTCGTGGCGAGGCTTCTTATCAGTCGAACAATAGGGATAATATGTTTCCCAAATTGCATTATACATATTATCCACAGAATCAAAATTTCTGTTTATTGCCAAACCATAGTAAACTGTCAGCTTATCTATTAGCTTAGCCGTGAGTTTAACTTTCCCTGAAAGTACTTCTTTTGCAATTTTTTTCCGCCTTTTTCAACTGTTTCTGCATTTTTTTTTTACTAGCTCGCGTAGTCGTGAGTGCAGCTGCTATTCCGGTTCTTACTCTACCTGCTTTCTAACACTCTGACGTAGCCTTACAAATTCAGGTATATCTCCAAAAATATTTATCGGATTGACTTCAAATTTTCAGAGCATATACTTAAATATATGTACATTCCGAAAATGTCAAAAAAAAAAATCGATTTTTTTAAAATTCTAACTAGGCATAACCCCTTAACGAATTAACAAAAGATTCATTCATTTATAATAAAACAAGAAAAAACATGGAAAGTCTTTATTTTACAATTAGTTTCTATTACTTTCTTTCAAATCAGTTTATCTTTCTTTATGAAAGGTTTTTTTTACACACTCTTTCCTATCATTTTATATATCTACCGATGTCACTAGCTGTGACCTATAGTGTTATATATATAACATAAATACTATATTAACCAGTTAAATGAGTTTGACGAATATACTCGTCATCAGTCAATTTGTGGGACATACAATGGTGCGTACTTTCAAAACGGAGTGTCACAGTTAACTGATTAAATATATTAAAGAAAACACTCTAAAACCGACATGGTTTTCTTTATACATACATACATATATATATATATACTAGGGGTGCTCCGGCCACGCGTTGCTGTGGCTAATAAATATATAGATAGATCTGAATCTACGCACATAACATTTATCTTCTTTTTCTCTTTTTTCTTAAAATCGAACCAACTGCGCATGAGCGGTAACATAAGATCACCACTTACTTCACATCATATAATTTTACATTGTCTGAATATAGGCACATAACATTTGTCTTTTTTT